CTTCCGTAATTGAAGTGAAAATACAATATACCAACAAAGATTTTCGAGAAAATCCGTCGGTAAATTTACCAAAAAGGAAAATTTGTATAACAGAAAAATAAATTTACAACGGGAGGTTAAATAATATTTAAAATAAAATGCTGACTACTCAGAGCTACATAATTAAGAAATGGCAATAAGTTATATCATTTATCTAATTAAAAATAAAAAATTTTACAGATTATCTACAAATTTTAAACATATTGACTCAAAAATTATGAAATAAAATACATTTATAAATAAATTTTAGATTTAGAGCGTTCAAATTTAAAATATTTAAAGGTGTCAGAGTATTTGGTGGAAAAGATTTACATACACAAACAATTCGTCTTCAAGTATGCCGAGCCTAATTAAAACTATCAAGCTCTACTTAGTAAGAGTTACAGTGGAACTAAGTGACTAAATAACATTTTATTGACCTAATATAATATAATGCTAAACTGGATTTTACATTTTTTTATAACTTAAATTTTAATATTTTTCATATATGTAAGTATATTTTTGTAGCGAAGAGTTCAAAACAGCAGGAGCTGTAGAATACTCTTTTCAAAACTGCAAAATGCGTTCATACATTATGACAAAATATGCCCGGAAATTGAAATTGAAATTCCCCGGGTAAATAATGTTTCAAAAAAATGTATTTTATTAAGTTGTTTAAGTCGGTACACCTCAGAAGTGCTCTTCTATTTTTTACGGTAGATAAAAATTTCAAATAAAGATTTTGTCTCAAATGTTGTATCTCCAAACAAATTTCGTATGGCTTACGGCTTACGGTAATTCATTCATAATTTGTCAAAAACACAATCCTACGAGTGGTACAAAGCCTTCAAAGACGGTCAAGATATCGTTGAAGGCATGCCTTGTTCTGGATGACCTTCGACCTCTGCAACTGATGAAAATATTAAAAAAGTGAAGAATATGGTGCTTACAAATCGTGATGTGCAAATTTTAGAGAAATGGCAAGAAAGCTCGACATCTCTTGCTATTCCTTTCAAATGACTTGGGGTATGAAACGCGTTCTTACCCGACTTGCTCCGATAAAGCTGAATTTTTTTTCAAAAAGAGTACGGTAAACATGTCTCTTTGGCTTGATCCTGCGAATTCCGATCCCACATGCATGGAAATCATTATAACTGATACATAGGTTACTGAGTTCGAACAAGTCAACCGGGATTGGAATGGAGGGAAGAAACGACAAAACCAAAAAAAAAAAAACGCCTAAGCCGCTAAAAAAATAAATAAATGTTCATTATTTCTCCGTTATTCGTAGTTTGGAGTATCATGAATTTTTTCCGGAAGGACATACGATCAATAAGGAGTTCTATTTGGCCGTATTGAGGCGAAATTAGAGCTAAAAACGCAATGAATACCATGATGAGTTTTATTATGCAGTGAGATACTTTTGAATGTGTTTAGGACCTGAAAGGATTGGATTAATACTCAACAGTAATTTGGATGCTGGGAAATTTGAGAAACATGAAAGAATGAAGTTGTACAACAAAAAACATGATTGTCCACAATTTTTAATTGAGCGAAGGACTTAGAAACAAACGGGTCTAATTTTAAAATGATAGAGATGGACTGGTTTGGAAAACAAAATTAAAATCTTGAGAGCGGGTAAAAAATTGAAATTTTAAAATAATTTATAGAACACGTGGACGAGTGTCTTTCATTTCTAACAAAAGTGTTTGAAAAAGATCATTATGAAAGCAATCACACATTTTAGTATAAGTAAAAGAGAGAGAAAGAGTTGAGTTTTGAAATAAATTTTTCATAATATGAACTATATAGTCTTATAAAGTTATAAGTTGTAACAAACCGAAAAAGTATAGCGTTGAGAATTGTAATTAGGAAAACTCATTTGGGTATGTAATCCAAAAACAAATGTCAAAATTTATGATTTAACGATGACTAGTCGTGAGTCCCCTAAATATGTAAATTTTATGGCAAAGGGAATTTTGTTATTAGACATACGAGGTGTTTATATTAATTTTGTGCCTCTAAAATAACAATTCTCAAAGTCGATTTTTTGGAAAGGCTTTAACTGTTTTAGTCATTTTTATATATCTTGTAAAACGACGGCCCTTTAAGGTTCTATTTATTTATAGAAAGAGGAAAAAATCACACGGAGCCATATCTGGTAAATATAGAGGCTGGGTCATCGTTACAGCATTGTTTGTTTAATCTATTTCTTAAAAAAAAAACGAAAATCGCCAAACTTATAAAAACATCTAAATTTTTCTGGAGCCTATAACTGAAATTATGATATTCGAAAGGCCTTAGAGTGTTAGCTTGAGATCAGTATTAGTTTAGGGTCAGTTAAAATAATTTTGGAGTTGTACTTTGATTTCATCACATTCGGTTTGCATATGGCTTTCACGTAATTTAGCAAACTACTTAGGGGTGGCAGCTGCGCCCGTCGCAGTGCTCCAAAAACGTATTTGGTAGATTAAAAGGTTAGTTAACCCAAAAATTTTTTGAAAGAAAAAATGTGTTATCTTTTAATAAAAATAAAAAACAAAACATTGGGATATTTAAATTTTTCGTATAAACTTTGAGGTCATCTGTAAAAGGTTTGATTGAAGAATTTCCGGATGGAAGAGTTCGTTGTTTTCTTTAACAAAATTAAGGGTTTACGGGTTTCGAAAAACCGATTTGTTTTTATAGTCTTATTAAATTCTACAACATCTCTAGAATATTAACCCGTCTTTAAACGCCTTTTTCACGAAACTGTGTTTTTGATTGGCAAGATTTCTCGAGAACTATAGAATTGATTTTCATGAAATTTTACACAGGCCTTTAGATACAATTCTTAAAGACTTGGACGAAGGATTTTATTTGATTACAATATTTTGCGAAATGTTCAGGTTTTTGGAAAAATGTCTGCCAAAAATCCAATTTGCAGTTTTTTTATTTGTCCAAGTTCTAAGTTAAGATTTTAACGTAATTTTTTATTTTTATAGATGATTCTGTCAGAAGTTATCCTACCAACGCGGGCGCTTCGTTTTTCCGAGGTTCACTGAAAATGGTGTCGCAAAGGCCCAGTTTAAATTTTACTTTTCCAAAAATTTCAGAATTTCTTTGTTAATAGTGTATTTTTGTAGCAATAAAAAGTCGAATAAAATATTTAATTTTTTATATGAGAAAAAAAAATTGAAAAGGGCTGCTTTTTACCCGAGAAAACCCATGTAACTCCATAAGTGAACTAACTTAGCTGAATACCTTATAGTATTACTTTATATTTGTTGCACGCTTTCCGTCGGTTACTCAAAGTCGCCACTTCCCTCACACATATAGCAAATACCAAAATATAGGTTGAAGTTTAATATTAAATTTTAAATAAMAAAAAAAAAAAAAAAAATAAATAAATAAAGAAACACTATAAGATCTATAATATAAGTGAAATATACTTTTCAGATTTATTGACTACCTATTATTATTAACATGCATAACTCAATTATTCGGACATCACCGGAAAACCCTTGTGTAAAGTATGCCGCTGAAACAACCAAAGAAAAGTAAGCCAATTTTAAAATAAACATTTTAGTAGCATAATTAAATTATAATTATATTGGTCTATCGGCAGGTTTAACACAGAAATAACAGATATTAATAGCTCTAAGCCGCCTTACAGTTATGTTGCGCTCATTGCTATGGCTATACAGGTATGAACTTGAAAGAAATTATTAATACTTATGAGCCTGCTTTTAGGCGTTTAAACCACACGATTGAAATGACAAAGAAACAATTTCGATATACAATTTTTTCAAATTTCTAGAATTCACCGCTAAAGCGCGCTACACTCAATGAGATTTACAGCTATATCACATCACATTTTCCATATTTCGAAAGAAATAAGAAAGGTTGGCAGAACTCAATACGACACAATTTAAGTTTGAATGAGTGCTTCATAAAGGTACCGCGCGAGGGTACAGGTGAACGGAAAGGAAACTATTGGTCGTTAGATACACAATATGAGAATATGTTTGAAAATGGCAATTATCGAAGAAGAAGACGTATGAAGCGACCTTATCGTTCGGTGGGACATTTTCCAAAGTTAATGACTGACACCTGCCCCTCGAAAATGATTTTCAATCACACACCTTGCCAGACATACTACAGATACAACACAAAGTAAATTTTGAGGCTTTTCTATAAAATTCTCTAATATCAAATATTAATTTTCAGTACTCAATGGTTACCCACACAGACAATAGCCGGTTATGGTCCGTCTACAGTGAGAAGTAGCTATCCGAATAACTCCGCAGTAAGATTATCTGTTGATTAAGGGCTCATTACGCAGTTTTTATTTTATACATTCTATTCGATAGGCTGGTTTTTCTACACCATTACTGGGTGCGAACAACTACAACAGCATTATACAGCAAGGTATGTACTCAATTTTTTCACTTCTATACCGCCTACTATATATATATGAATATATAAAACATTTTGTTAATTCGCAGTTCAGTAAAACAGTTTTCGAACTTATATATTGTTCATATTTTTTCAGAAGGAATCTCTACCGATGGCGTTAAAATGATGGATCCATGTCCATGTCCGATTTGGAATACAAGTGCGTATTGTATTTTCCTTAGTACTAAGAATTTACATATTTTACAGATGAATACATGGATACTATAACTTAAATTATCATTTCCACATAGTTCCCGATTTGATGATCAAAGATGAGCATTCATCACAAAGCCATGCCGATGCGACATTCATCAGTTATCAGAAGCAATTTGCCTTACATTAATAGATATTATAAAAATATAAGAAAATATATATGATAACAAAATATTTAATAATAATAAAAGCTGTAAAATTATGGTATATTGTAAAGAACTAAAGAAAAAACAATAGTATAATAAAAAATACCAAAAATCAAGTAAACTAAATAATAATGTATGAAAAAATTTAAATTTTTAGCTAACAGTTACTAACACTTCGTAACTAAAAGTTATACGTTAACAATGAAATCCTAAATGAATTTTTAAAGAAAATAACAAAATAAAGAAATATTAATAAAAGAAAATTGTTTGAAAATTCTTCATTGACAAGTAGTTTATTTCATATTATTGTTTATATAATTGGTATATGTGTGTATAATTTAGTTAGCGTAAATGCAAAAAATATATCTTAATATATGTATATATATTCATAAATATGTCTTCGATGTTCGAGCAATCAAATAACTGCACCAACATATTCAGCTGATACTTATACAGCAACATTTTTGTGGCGATTTGATGCCTGGCTATATTGCCGCAGTGATTCGAGACTCGAACATCAATTGCAACATAGAAACATAAAAAAATCTAATTGTGATTGAAATTCATTAATAACTAATAAAAAAAATAAGAATTTTGTAAAAAAAAATACAATACAAACATTAATATTAACTTTTTCGTTGAAAATGTAATTTCATAGGTAAATAATTTCACTACTCTTTATAGAAAATTTCAGCCAATAATAGCATTTTCTGAACAATATGCAATATTTATACTACGACTAAAGGCTATACAAATTACTGAGTGTTCAAATGTGATTTCAAAATTAATGTTGTGTTTAATGTAGTTAACACTCAAAAATTTGCACTCACATATAATACAATGCAGAAAGATTATTCAACTTTTGATAACTTGTAATTGCTGTGTAATTATTCAATGTAGGAAAAAATAAAAACCTATCACAGCACTTTTAGATCTTTGGAAACACATGCACTCTATAAATAACAAGTGCATATATTCGTCGTTGTCACGTATTATAAAAAAATTGAAATAAAAAAGAAAGGAAGGGCTAAGTTCGGGTGTAACCGAACATTTAATACTGTCGCAACTTGCAAGGATTAAAACTGGAGAAATGTTTTTCTGAATTTCAATAATATGTATATCTGACAGGTTGAGCATATTTTCGGTAAAACGTTAGCAAAACCAACTGTTGTCTACATATGCGGCATACGGACGGACAAACAGACAGTCGGTCGGATTTCGACTTGCCTCATGACCTTGATCTTTTATATACTTATGTATAACCCTTTAATAGATAATCGATTAATTTTACGTGATACAAACAAACGCTAGGTGAACAAAACTATTATATGCTGTAGCAACATGTTGCAAGAGTATAAAAATATATATAGCACATATACTCAACTTAAACATTTTTATAAAGTTATGGAATAGGAGATGAACGTCAACTCAGGATGTTCTAGACGAACATCTCGAAATTCGTCCGTAAAAGATAGGATATAAAAGCAGAAAATAGTAGCCATAATCCACTCTGATATTGAACTCACTACATGGAAGTACCAACCACCATCCGAGGGATACCTAGGTAACAAAAAATAAAAACAAGTTAGTAGTGAAATTTTAAATAGTCTTTCATTTTTTACCATTGTCTTGGATTATCGCCTTTGAAGAGAATATGTGACATTACACCAGTTACGGCAATCAAAATGAAAAGTATGGTGCAGGCTATAGCCATTCCCAGTCGTATGTGAGCGTATAATTTTGAACCCGCAATCGGATATACCAAATAGGTAATTAACGCTTGCAACCAGAAGTACACCGTCCCACAACCAAAGCAACAAAATGCACCAGTAAAGTGAACAATCCGAACATTTGTTTCTTGGAAATTACCAACAATACTTATACCTAAACACGAAGCCATACCAAACCAGACTGCTATCTTGTTGTAACGCAAAAGCAAGGATCCCAAATCGGGATGATGACTGTAAAGTTGTTGAATTTGACGATATCGTATGTAAATAGTGATACCCACTGAAAAATTACATACATATATAAATCGTCGTTTACATTGTTATGAAATGATCAATTTCCAATTAATTTTTGCGATCTTCTACTCACATAGCACACTGCCAATATTTATAAGCTGCCCAAATACGCAACTTTCTGGAGAGTATGTGCCATCGTCACTTATATACGGTACTGTGGGCACTACATGACCCTGAAGGACGGCGGCAATATAACTACAATAAAAAAAGAAGATAATTTTATGCAAGCAGAAGATATTGAAGACTTGCAAGCTGGCAAACTGATAAGGACATATTTAAGTACTGAGCGAGATAATTTACGGTTTCAATGCACTTCGAACTTGTAATGAAAATATTATGTGATTACAAATCATTTAAAATACACATTTCAAAATATGTTCGACGCATCAAATGTGTTTAGCTTTCAATACACAACATAAAGTTAGAACGCACTTGCATTCTCAAAGGTTTGCAAAAATTTACTCACGTTCCGAGAAAAGTAATCTGGAATAACAGAAAAACGGCCACCGGCACCAAATAAATGTAGGACATATTTTTCAATAATTTTTAAACAGTAGTAAATATTTACTATAGTCTTCAGCAATTCTTGTTTATTCTGAGGAAGAAAAATAATAATACCAAATTGGGTTGCCAAGATAACATAATACAATAGTGCTGCCGTATCTTAGTATAACTGTTCTAAAACTTTTTCTGCTGTGTAATAAAACCTTTGAAGTTTACCTTTAGAAAATAAAAGAAATTACAAAGTTTTCATCATTTAATCTAGAAAACGCTTAATAAAAATTGATTTAGGAATATTAGCCTATGATCCAACCCGAGTGAAAGAAAAAATATATATTTTAAATTTTACTTTTTATTAAAAGTCATATTTCATACTATTTATAAATGTAATAAGCTTAGCATCTCTCTCAGCTTGGCACTCATGTTCGAAATCCATTAAAATTTTTTGCATATTCGAAAAGGTACTGTTAATAATTTTGTGTGTCTGCTTTATTTCGGAGAAAAAGTCATCATAAATCAGATCATTGTTAACGCTTTTAGCGCCACCTGTAATTTTAACACTCGCAATTAACAAACATATAATTTATAAAATGTATGCTCATACTTCTGGCATTAGACGTGTCTCTCAATCTATTATATGTCGTTATAGGTGTTTGAACAGGTGCTGGCGCAGGTGGAGGCGATGGTGTTGGTTGTGGTGCTGGCTCAGGTTCCGGAGATGGTGACAGCTCGCGGTAATTCGGTTTAATTTCCTTATCAACAAATTGCGCTATTATAGGACGAAATTTCTCAGGTATCAGGAGCAACCTAAAAATATTCCATTTTAGATGTTAAACATTTAATTCGTTCTAAAGTTTTAAGTCTGGCAACATTACACAAAATTATAAATATGTATATTTGTAGCGATTTGTTTATCCGAATAATTCTTTTATAAAATCAACAAACTTTCAATTCTTTTTATATATTGCACTTACCTCTCAACATTACCGCGTTTATAGCACAAATAAGCCGACTTCATTTGAAACCATTTTCGTCGTATTTGTGTGGCCGACTTGTTGGGAAATCCCTTCTTCTTCATCTTGTTTGCAATTTGTATAAATGTGTAATTTGTTGTGGCAGTGGTGCCTTGTATTCTATAAACTTCACGTAGCAAATTTAACATGCACTCTATTTCGGAGGAAATCCAAAAATTGCGCCTCATTTTTTCCTTCATTTTTTAAAACCAATATTTGTTTTTACTTGAAAAGTGGAATGTTATTGGTGTACTTTAGCGATGGGTGAGAAGAGAAGTTATAATCGGTTCTGTTATCGCGTATAAGTATCGGTTAGGGATGCCATTTTCATTTTTGTTTTAAATCAGCTATCTAATTTCCTTAATAAATCTATATATCCAAGAATTCGTAAATTAGAAAAGAACTCACATTCTGGGTACCGCGCTTCTTCGGCATTAATATAAAAGGATCTTAAATACTTTTTGTAAATACTCTTATTATTATTTCGGTGACAGCTCTTGACCGGAAATACATATAATCAAGTTAGTTCCGGTTTTTTTGAACCGATTCTCTGGAAGAGGCTTTTGTTAAGATAGCTTCATCAAACTGATTCATAATTTCTCCCATTAAGTTTACATGATTAATTAAATATAATTTCGTCGAGAAAGCTTGAAGTGAAAAATTATTAGTCTGGGATTACACCTAAGAAAACTCCAAACGCTCTAAATGGAGTCATATTTATGTAGTTCGTAGCGTAAAACAAAAATGAAGAAAAAACACATTTCTACATACTTGACTGAGTTAGCTTCTTGGTTGATCCTCAAGACTTACGAGTTCAATAAGTAAAGAGAGCATAAGTTCTATCATATGTCGACGTAGTGGACGAGGAAGTGCATAAATATTATATTTATTCGGGATATTCTTCCTTTTTCTTCTTCTCAATGGCACTGCTTTGCATTAGCGGGACTAGCCATTAGAAGTCGCAATCGCAGATTTTATGTCCATGCCAACTAAAGTGCGTTTGATGAAAAGTCTCTCTGGTAATTTTTTCTACAAAAATGCTGAAGAACTTTGGCTGCAACTTTACATTTCCACTGATATCACGGCTACGGAAGTGTTAAAAATGTTGCAGAATGTCTACATTATCAATAACACTATTATTTGAGAGGCACAAAGCATTCAGTGAAGGTTGTAAAGTTATCGTAAACTTTCCTCAATCAATGGATCAATCGTTGTATTGCATGTAGTGGCTCAGTAACGATTATAAAGATTTGCATTAAAATATGTGAAAATTTTGTATTTTTTGACAGTACGGGTCAATTTTGATAACGTTATATACCAGATTCCCCAATCGTTCGAATTGAAATTTGTTCTGAATATTGTAAATTCGTAAACAAGTGGAGAAGAAAAAGATATTGACACATTATCTTATTCGAAGCCACAAATTTCGATTTTCGAACTTAAGTTAATAATTGTAATACTCCTTCGTAGATACAACAGGTTATTGAACCTATATATTTCAGTGCCGTCTAAAGGATCTGGGTCGATTTTTTTAATCTCGGACTTTATTTCACTAACGAACATTCAATTTCTGCTATCTATCCGACAGATTACACATACATTTTACAGCTTCTGAAAGCCGTTAAAAGGACGCGCCAACTTAATAACACTAATAATATCACTATACATACATACATATGTATGTATATTTGGGCACAAATATATAAATGTTTATATAGGCAACAGCGATACTTTCAATTCCTCATTTTGGCGAGCATTTGATTTTACATTTGCCTTGCGCCCAACTCACAGCTATAATTCATACTAGTACCCGTTCCATACATATGTATGAATATGGTATATAGAGCTAAGTTAGTAGCAGTAGTAGGGAACTGTCATGCCGAGTGTAATGTGTATTAACTTCGGTAATAGCAAAATAAATACAGTGTTAGTGTTGTGTCAGTGAAATGCTTCCAACAAAATTGCACTCCTTGCGGCTACGAAGCATCTGGACTGTCGACAGCATTTTATGGCGCTTGGCTACCACTTTCGGCACTAAACACACCAACGTACACGCATACGAAAGTGCGGCTCAACCGTTGGCCATGGCCGCAACGCTGCACGTTTACTGCATCCTCTTTAATATTCGAATGCATTTGCTCACAGTTCGTATCAATAGCGGGAACGTGTTCTTTATTCTACCAGCCAAATGTCCGAGCGACCTGCCTGCTGCTACTGAAAGTATGGATACACCTCACACAATTATCTACATACACACCTAACTGCACTCATATGCACCCAGCACCTACGTACCAATATATCTACATGGGGTATAAAAAACAATAAGCTGTCGTGGTACTGATACGTCTTTACGACTGCCGAGTACGTGTACATCTGTTTGCATATGTGTGTGTGTGTGTGCCTACATGCATGCATATATGATATAAAAATCTAAATTTTAGCCAGCGGCAAACGGACAGCGCGCAAAGTGCGTTTGGCAGCAAATGCAAGCTGCAGAGTTGAAATAAACTGAACCTGGCTGGTTTGCGCCAACTTGAGCGGCGGCGTATAGCCGAGACGACAAGCCAATTCTAGTTCTGTGATGTTCTTAATCATGGCCTGGCTTTAGCGGGTAGACAACGTACTCACTGTTCGTTTCGTTATGAAACCATATTGCTGCCAGCTGCCAATTGCCAGTTAGTTGTTTGTATTGGTACGATGAGAGTCGAAGAGCGACGAACGCTACCGATTGACAAATGGGCAGGTTTGGCGACTACTTAATATTCACACTGCAGCATAGATTGTAGATCGATTGCCGCCTATTAAAATCATAATTATATTTTTATAAAGTGTGCTTTTGTTTATTCCTTTATGCACGCGCGTTCGTATGTATGTATGTATGTAAGCAAGTATTATTTAATGAATCGAATTGTATAATATGTTTAAGGAAATTGCCGATAAAGCTCAAACCTTTTAATGAAAAATGTACTCCACTATGATTGCCAATTGATAAATAAACAAATTTACCTGAACATCTTGGAAAAGCTGGAGGAATATTTAGAAATAAGGATTATTAATATTCATCCAAACTCAGTTTGTGGAAGGACTTTCGATGACTTCGTAGAATATAAAAAAGCTCCTTTTCTTCTTTATTTAATTATCAGAGCACTACTTGAGAAAGTTAAAAAATATATAAGGTCTTTGAGAAAAAACCGAGACCCAGCAAGATTTGCAATGGGTCCGTAGAAAATAAAAAATTTAAATTTCTTCGCATTGAGAAAATTGTTACAGAGCTGGGTTCCGGGTTCGAGAGGAATTGTTTCCGATCTCCCTCTTTCTCTCGTTCATTAGACGTAACAATTAGAATTTGCAAAATGGACTTAAAAATAATCATGACTAGATTATAAATTACTGATAAAAAAGCGAATTAAAAAGGACGTAGGTATTACTCTTTTATTTTAGTCAGCTTAGATTTTGCCTCCCGAAACACCAAGGTGATCAGTTTTGGAAAAATTAACATGAACGGTGTAACAAAATCTGGTTATAGGTCATCCTTTTACTTTTATTATAAAATATAAATAAAATTCCAATAGAATAATAGAATCGAGTATTCGAGGACCAATCATGAGATGTCTTATAACTTTGACAGTTGTTTTTCTGCGTCTAAGATTCTTCACGCAAGTGAGGAAAGTTTTATGATCGTCATTCACTTGAGAGTGGCCAAAAACGATTCTTTTACATATGGGTAAAGCAACTCACGACTTCCGGTCTTAGACTTGGATACCCAGTATCCTCTAGGTAGACAAAAAATAACCTTTTGAAGGCGAGCTAAAGTGAGCGAACCAACCCCTTCCCAGGGTTGTGCACTAGGTTTGGGACCCGCCACGTAAAAAGCAGATCAATGGAAAGGAAACGACAGCTTCGAATAAGTGACCCCCCTTTTCATGACGAGCTTAAGATTATTATAACTTCTTTTAATATTCGTGTGAACTTCGATCTTCGTACATCAATTAGGGTGAGTTTTGGCAGCTGTTTGTTTATGACTTGAACTTGTCTGGTGATTTTTATCTTGCATATTGGGTCAATGGACTGAAAGATCCAGTTTCGAAATACATTACAGAAACCAAATCTGGCGAATACGGTGTCTGAACGATAGCTTCGGCTAGAATGTGACTCGCTTTATAGCCAAAACATTAACCAAAGTGTGTTGAGTCGATTCATAAGAGATGTTAAAATTATTTGGTGACAACACGACCTCAAGCACGAGACGTCTTTCAAGCTCTGTTTATTTAACTTCTCCGATCTCATCGTTATTAACAGTGGAGGATTGGCGACTTGTTTTCGAAGACCTTAGAATCTTTACAGGACGCTTTATGCCGCACAAAAACCATACTTTTATAGAGAGTCTCCCCAAAATACTTTTACAACATTTTCCACCATTCCGTTATCGTGATTTCATTGGGAACGAAAAATTTCCAGCATACTCGTTAAATTTTTTTACATGATACAAATTTGAAGGAATAATTCAGGTTGTTGTTGTTGTAGCGGCAGAAAACTATCTAGTTGACAGTTCTTGGCTGTTCCGGTTACGTGGATCCGACAGCCGTAGGAACGTGGGACTAATTCGGGTAATAATTGGTGCTCGCAAGCATTTTGTGCGTTCTCGGAGTGTCTTCGTGGACAAAGTTAAAATTGAAATGGGCGTCACTTTTAGGTAGGCTATTTCGAACCTCAAAGGTTTTTATAACAAAAAAAAAACTGCCAAAAGACTCGATCCGCCGCTTAGAGTTTGTATAACTTTAAAATCATGCCTCCAATTTTCGGAAAACTTAGCTAGCAAAATTATTTTGACCAAAGGGACCATCAAAGGGAACATCTGCTTCGCCATTAAAGAACTTTCTACAAACAGCATTGTTTAACAGATGAAATTAGCGAGGAATCACAAGGATATGCAGGATTATATATATCTATGTATACATGCAAATATATGTAAATGAAGCATGCGTCTATTAAAAATATGTTGTTGCTTTGACTGTAGCAGCAGCAACAATGGCATTAACTAAAATCAGTCGTAAATATTGGCGAATATTCTTGATTCTTCCTCTTCTTCAACTTCTTTTCACTTCAATTACTCGACGGAAGCGCAAAACGAGAGCAACGCAACACATAAATACCATACGAACGTACATACATGTGCACAAATGTCTGTATATATGAATTTATACAAACGACATGCATACAAGTTAGTCGGTCGGTTGGCATCCTTAAGACACATTGGC